GTTTCGAAATGTTAAAGGATGGCATTATAAGCAATCAATAAAATAGCAGGTTCTCATTTCAGAAAATTTGTCTAGTTTACAAACAATTCGTGTAAAAAAAGCTTTGATGAAAATCTAAGGAGCAAAGCGGAACTCTACTTGGGTGATGCCCAGTTTGTTCTATATTTTCTCTCTCCCTTTCTCCAGGAAATTCTCCACAACTCTATTAGCTACCAATGTTATTCTACTTTTGAATCAATAAGCATTCAAAATCATCCATTATAACCTATTCTCAATGTGTTTTTACCACGTCATTTTGGTATATTTTGGTAGTGCAAGTAAAATTTGGATAGTAAACTCTTTGCGAAACCTGATCTCAGTAGGCTACAGAAGCTTACCTGATCTCCATACATTTCAAAGCTGATGAGATCGCTAAAATTGTCCAGACGGCTCAATCTGAACAGCTCTAATTGCAGAGCTTGTAGACGCCTTCGTTCTGTGATATTTGGTGTCTGATTCATGTACCAAAGTGTTACAAATTCCATTTGTTCAATAGGCCCTCTCTGTAAAACAGAAATAATGAAGACTCACTTCAGTAATATTTGATAGGGGAAACGTACAAAGGATTTCTTGTGCTTGTTTACTCCAAAGAAGTGGCTGCCAAGGAAAAACTTATGTCCCATTGCATTCCCCACGGGATATGTTAGATTAATGTCGGCAAAAAAGTTCGACCATGAATATGCATACTATAAAAAAAGTTAGTCGACAATTTTGCTTGCTCGAGTAGCTCAACTCACTTTATACCAGTTAAAGATGTAATTAATATCTAAAGCATGGAGGTCATCAAAATGAACTAAAGTATCGTCAACCATAACACTCATGTTGTGTACAAACTTGTCCAGTCGCTCCACCTGAAACAGATGAAATACATTAGAAAAGCTTTTGAAGAGCAAGGTAGAGAACATTTGGCAGAAGAACTCCCGTTTATTCTTAAACATAATTTGTGTCGCTGCCAGCGCCTAGCACATGCCCTTTTCAAAATAGTATGTATGAAACGAACCTCATCAAGAAGTTTCATAGACATGTTCATGTATTTTCGACCAGTGGATCGTTTCTCCGTCACCAGAACTGCCCATATTTCAAGACCCTCATATGTAATGTTGTAGTAATCAGCAAATCTCTGCAAAATCTTCTATTTAAACCTAAATTATTTAAACACTAAGTTTTTCAGTGATTAATGATGCTTTTGAGATGCCTGCAGCAGCATTCAAGTATTTCCTAACATTGACATTTGTATTTCGAGCGACTAGTTTTGGAGATAGAATAATATTCGATTGTTCAAATGTCCCCGAAATGATCGAATATTTTTTTGGTTAGAATATCTGCGAAATCAAGCAATGATTGAGATTGAGTATTCAGGCCTGAATGGAATATTACTCGCACATTTAAATAGTCAAACATTCAAAAAAACATTTTATTCTATTATTCGATTATTCAATTATTCGGTCACGCCCAACTATGATTCGAATAGTCGAATATTCAGGATCTCTACTATCCGAATATTCGTATTCGAGCATGTTTTATGGCAATTCGAGTATTATTCATTCGTTAGAAAATTTTATAATGATCATTTAATTCATCCACTAAAAAAACTTTCGATTCAATTATGAAAGTACGCGAGAACCTCCTCCTCTGATTTCACATTCTGTTTTGCTTTTACGGGGCTTTTTTAAGACCTTCTATTGTATTCATTAAATCAACGATTAGATGTCTGAAAAGCTCTGTTGTCAACTTGACGGACGCTAATGGGTGCTCCATCAAACCCTTAGCATATTCTGCAATTTCAGAGTTGAAAAGAAGATTGCTCCAAAAGTCTACAGGAAAGTTCTTTTTCCAACAGCAGGGTATTTTCATAAGAGCCCAATGCCTTCCTATCTGGAAAGCTCATATCGAACGGAAAGAAATCTGAAAATAGCTTGGACGTCCTCTGCAGTTCCTAACCGCTACTTTGTCAACGGCATATGATCAGCATTACACTCTGTTCCAATGTTCTGTTTACCATAACAAAAGGGGATTTGACAGCGTGAACAAACTGCGTACATATATTATGGTTGACTCTCTTTTGTCATGAATCAATGGAGTGCTTGAGCCCTTTAGGAGAGAAGAAGGTAAAAGTAATACAAATTAGTGGATATGTGAAAATCTGAGAACTCAGTTTGAGTGTTCTAAGCAGAGGTACAATAACCGCATTAATGAGACAGAATTGATCATAAATTAGTTAGAGCCTTTCTTATTCCCTTTTGACTCTTCTTTCCATCAATAAAAAAAAGTTTGGAAAAGTTATCAATCGGGAAGAAAGGAAATTCGCTCTTGGAAAAGTTATCAATCAAAAAGAAAGGAAATTCGCTTTAAAAAAGGCACGCATAAGAATTTTAAATACATTGCATGCGCAAGCTTTTGAAAGAACTCATAAAACAGAGACATACCGAATCAATTTTCCAAAAACTAGGATAAATTCGCCGTTAATCTTTTAAAACAGCAAATGGGAGTAGCTTTAGCATGTAAGTATGAAGAAAACAGTGAAAAGATAGGACAAATGCAGTAATTGAAGATAAGGTATAGGAAAAGATGTAAATACGTTATATCGAGAAATGACAATGAAGCGATGATCGAGTAAAAGATTATAATTCCCTACCTTGAACTCGCTGGCTGATCTTCCACCTCGTTCAGCGAAACCTCTTCGCACATCGGATTCGATTTCAATGGGATAGAAGAGAAAATAGCTAAAAGTGTGATACATATAGACATCATTCCTCATCGGTAAAAAGGTTTCCTACCTAAAAAAAGGTAAAAGCACACTGAATACCACGGCTAGAGTCCGTCGAGGATAGCAGGAAATCCAGTCGCAGAGGGTTAACATACCTAGATACATCGTTGGTTAAGTTCTAGAAGAGCGTGTAGGCTTGGGCGGAGCTGTTAGTAGCATAACATTGGGTGCAATGCAAACAACCGTCTGGCGGTTTGTATTCGATGCTGACAGAGTCTGTAGAATCAATTTTAGAAATTTTATAAATGGAGCGGTTCCATTGGGAAGTTGAGAAAAGAAAGCTATCTATGAAATGACAAAAATTCTAGCGAAAGATTATCACAGGGGGTGAAATAAGTCAAACGTTGAAGCTCCTCTTTCTCGCGATATCGATCTAGGCTAGTCATTGCCTCCTCCTCCTCCGACGCTTTGACTCATTGTTTGCAGTAATTACGACTTATGAGCATATAATTGAAGCTT